TGTTCTTGAACCCCATGTCCCACGAGTCCGCTCTCGATCAAGAAAAGCTGCAAGTACTCGCCCCCAGCGGGCATCTTCTAAACCACGCCAAAAGGCGGCTTCGTAAGCTAGTACAGGCCGGTGTTGGGTCCATCAGTCTTTTAGGTCTGGCGCCCCTCATTATCGAGCACCCTGCTCATACAAGGTGTGAAACTTCCAAGCCGACGAGTAAACACGGCCGTACTCGTCGGGCTCTCACCTCAGGTTGGCCGCCTATTTTACGTGCACGTTACCCGCACTAACGCTAGGTACCTCGTTGACACAGGTGCCCAGGTTTCTGTCGTACCACTTGGTAGCAGTGAGTCTCAAGCTACAATGCTTCGTCTACGTGCCGCGAATGACTCTGTCATTCCTACCTACGGTACGCGATAGCTGACGGTCAACTTGAGCAACCGACAGCAGTATCTGTGAACGTTCATTATTGCCGACGTTCCCATAGCCATACTCGGTATCGAATTGCTAATCGATTCACGTAGACTGTAGCTAATCAAAACTTCTTCAAACAGTAAATTTATGGGCTTTCGGGCTCAAACAGATGCGCACCGTATTACAGGGGTATTTCATTCGCGTGATGACATTTTTCATTCCAAAAGTTTCCCCAGCTATTTAAACCACTCGAGGAGAATATATCGGTGACTCATCATGTGGTGCACCACATCGTCATCCACGGACCACCGGTCACGGCACGACCTCGCCGACTAGCACCGGACAAATTAGCTTTCGCCAAACGTGAGTTTCATAATTTACTAGCTATGAGTGTTATTCGTCGATCTCACAGTCCTCGTGCCTCACCACTCCACATGGTTCGCAAAAGAGATGGGATGAGTTGGCGACCATGTGGCGACTACCGAGAATTAAACGTAGTAACATGTTTCAATAGCTATCCCGTCCCCCACATACACGACATCACTCAAGGGCATGACTATTTATTCTAAGATTGATCTGGTACGAGCATGTCATCAGCTTCCAGTCGCTCCTGAAAATATCGAGAAAACTGCTACCACGAATCGTTTCGGTCTTTCTGAGTTCCCACGAATGCTATTTGGATTACGGAATGCTGTTCAAACTTTCCAAAGGTTTATCGATAGCATAGTACGAGAGTTTGCTTTTGTTCACGTTTATATTGATGAGCTGCTAATTGCATCATCAAACGTAGATGAACATTATCAACATCTTACACTCTTATTCCAACGCCTTTCGGATAATGGAATAGTAGTTAACCCAGAAAAGTGTGAACTAGGCAAGGCAGAAATAAAATTCTTGGACCACATCATTAAGCATGAGGGTATTCTACCTTGTGAAGACAAAGGACGTTCAATCATAGAGTACACTGTGCCTCACTCAAGGAACTGACGGCTTTTCTCGGTTTGGTTAACTTCTACTGACGTTTTATTCCTCACTCAGCAGAGCGGTTACGACCATTAACCGACTTACATCGCGGTAACTCACGTAAATTAGAGTTGAATGATGCAGCACGTACTGCATTTTTAGAGATAAAATGCTCTGACTGAAATCACGCTTTTCGCCCATCCTGACCCATCAGCCTAGCTTAATATGGCAGTTGATGCATCATGTTTTGCTGTAGTAGCCGGTTTGCCACAGAAAATCTCTGGAAGTTGGCAACCTCTCGAGTTTTCCTCACGACGCTTTACTCCCACCGAGACGAGATATAGCGCTTTTGGTCGCGAACTACTAGCAGCCTACTGTCCCATCAAACATTTCCGGCGCTCAGTAGAAAGTACAAAAGACTATCTCTCGCGCTCCAAGCGTGTCTTTACTTTTCGGCTTTCTCTCCCGCTCGTTTTTAGCCGACCGTGTACTTACTGGTCTCAATATTATTTCGATATCACGAGGCTAGCAATAAATATACTTCTTCATCTAGAATCGCCTTTCCTCTGAATTCTAGATTAACGGGATTAACATTTGTTATCCCAAGTTTTATATTTATTTGGGTACCACTACAATATTATGGCGATGGGAAAGTTATTCACAGAAGCAAAAGTCGTATTGAAACGATTACTACGCTGTTTCCACATCAGTATTCATGCTCGGCGATCCAGTTAACGACAATGTATTGCTCTGGTTCTGACCTCAGCACTATATCACCACTGGGCACGCGTGATACGCAACTTTTGCAACAACTACCTTGTTCTATTTACTCACCTATTGACACACAACTATCTTACAAATATATCTTCAAACTCCATTATTCCTGACATTTGTTTTCTACCGTATTCCGGATGCTCGGTTATAAAGTTAATTAGTTATTAATGTGTTTTATCACTACGTTATTGCTAACAATATTCTAGATGCACAGCACATATTTCACAATCCAGTCAGTCAAGCAACTATGCTTGATACCGGTCTCCACCTCAAACAAGTCTGTCAGCTGTCCTTCATGCACGATTTCGCAGTTAAATCTACCACGACAATACCGTATGCTGTTGACTAATTTTTTTCAGGTACGCCATTGTGTCGAAGAATCCTCCATAGTGTTGTCCTGACCCGTGTTTTGCTCGTCACTTGATATGCTTAAAACCACTACGGGTTCACCTTAGCCGATAAGCGGGAACAAGACAATGAACCAGTGACACGACAGGCCACTCTAATCCGTTCACCCAAAAACACTAACGAGAAGTCTTGATATAGCGTAGTAAGTGTATTCTACAAACACACCAACCACTCACAGCCACGGATTCTCCTGTTAAGAAATGTGATCCCAAGGTCATCTGATCAACCATGAATAAAGTCCAAAAGAAAGACATTTATCAAGCGGATTCGGGGGATCCAACATCCCCAACACAACCTTTTCGTACTTGAAATTCAGAGAGAGAGATACTCCCATGCGCTAACGCAATGCGGCTTTCGAAAGTCTGTATCCCATTTAACTGTATCAGTTCTCTTAACAATTCAATGGTTTCTGCATATGGCAGCAAATACTTGCTAAGTCCAGATGTGGCCTTAAAGGTGATGGTAGTATTGGATGACCAGCTCTCTGAAGAAGTGATAGGTGGACATGATCATGGTTGCTTCAATGAGAGTAGATAGTTCGAGTGGTCGAATCGTCCACCGACACAAAGCAAATGTTTGATTAGCATGAGGGAACGTCATTTTATTCAATAACTTCTTCTGCATATTAATTTATCCTTGAGGCGCCTACATAACTTCCCTGTAAAATTCTTTTGTTCACTAAAACTAATACATCACATTTAGGCGCATCAATTTTACTAGCTGTCAGAGAGCCTTAATCGAATTACCTATCTTGGTGGCGCTAGCTACATTGATTGCATTTCTTCTGAGCCAGGCAACTGCTACCGATTGTAGTGGTTTAAAACAACCCGACCAAAGTTGTAATCTGCAGTGACTACGTTAGCCATGTGAGCTCTTTCAATCCAACGTTTGGAATCGCGTCTGAGCAAACATTCACCAAATTTAGGAGCTTTCTGTTTCTTAAGAATTAAGGACCATTGATTACCGTCTGCAGCCCCTCCGAGACTACTGCCGGTCCCAACGAGGAGAGTTGGACGTGAGGTTGACAGCCCCTCATTGTAGAAAACTAACTCCCTGAAAAAACGCTGACCAGATTCGTCCTTATATCTCGCTCATTCTGCATGCCTCGTGATGTCCAGTTGGCAGGATTTTCGTCGGACCCGGTGTCCCCTGACGTTAACTGGTTAATAACAGCCAGGCGATCGGCTGTGAATGTGAGAAACTAGATCTCTGTTTGCTCAGAATTCGTCTAGAGGTAAACCTTGTCAAGCATTCTAAAAGCTACGCCCATTCGGGTACTAAATACTGAGGTTTTATAAGCTCAACATTAGCTTTACACTAAAGCGAAGCGCTGCAGCAAGGCTTGCACCTGGAGATCTCCTACGGATAGGCAACCGAACGGCAACGTGTTTCGGAATAACTACAGAACATGTGTAACTCCATCGTCCCAACATTCAACATTTCTAATATCTTCGGGTCTTTTCATCAGTTCGAGATTCCACATAGACTTAACCCGACCGTCGCACAAGGATACAACAATAGTTCTCAGAGGCTGGTCCTAACAAGAGTGAGACGTGTCAATATTCTGTTAAAGTTGCTAAGCAGGAAGGTACGTTGGAGCAATTGGATCTGGTGGACCAAAGGGAAATAATAATTATAATAATTTTCCCCAATTAACATTGTGTTACATGAAGTATGCCAATTTACAGGCAACGTCAAAATCGCTAACATACTTTCTGTAAAAGTTGTTCGGTTAATCAGGGATTTCACATGATACACCGGCTTTTTATGAACGGAATATATTTTTCACACAAAATGTTAAATGTTTCAGACTCTAGAATGTACAACACAATAGTTGGCACGAGTTGATATTGACATTTAACATGTCGTTGTCTGCATCTTTTTCGTTTGTATTCCCTGCTCATCCGCTTTTCTAAACATACAGTATATAGTCTCTATGATTTGGCTGATATTTCTTCTCTAACGGTGATGTTCTTGAGGCAATAATTAGTTTGGGCTACGTCTGCTAACAAACATAACCATATACATCGGACAAGCCTAGGTTTCGTCGAAGATTCCCTCATGATAGCGTCGCCGAATATATCTTCCGTCGAACAATTTAAAGCGTAAGCGATGTAGTAATCGAAGAAAAAGAGATAAAACTATGAATTCATCAAAGTACATATTATAGTCGCGAGATTATATGGATGATGTAAAAAATCTTGCGAATTCAGTTTGAATCCCGCCCGCGGAGTCGCAGACTTAGATAAGCCCCACGCCAACACGAAAAGGTCATCCACTGACTCCACATATCTAGTGGTCGTCCAACATTCACCAGTACATAATTTCAATTAGATTGAACAATCTCTACAACACTATGCCGAAGTGATACTTCGTTTAAGAATCGGGTCACAGAAATAGATGATATTATTGATGGATTTGCCGAATATATTAGAAAACAAAAGAGAATTCGGTTAAAAGTGGTATATTAAATGCTAAAAAGGCATTGTTGAGAGGAACTTGGGATTGTTTCACCCATTACGACGAAGTGTATGCACTTACAAAAAGCACACAATATATTTACAAATTATTGCATGTTTAACACGTTTTATCCAACAAATTAGGTCGTTACTGTTTGATTGATTTCACATACTGTCTCACAGCTTCTTCTTGTTCATCATCAATTGATTTCGGCCTAAGACGACGCAATTCAGTAATAGCCTCATTGGCATCAATATTGTTTTTATAAGCAAGATAACAAGCTAAGATTGTCCCGGCACGTCCTCTTCCTAGCTGACAGTGAACTCCAACTTTCTGAAAGGCAACCAACCATTTTCAGAAAACGAAAACCTTATGGAAATAAAAATTATATTAAAACTAGTCACATTCAGCCTACCCCTAAACCGTTTGCTAACCAAAGGTCGAGTGTACTGTGGAGCAGTTCGATTCGTTCTCCTTTATGGATGCGAAACATGACCGGTAAGAGTAGAAGATATTCGTAGGTTACTAGTGTCAATCACAGATGTCTCAGAAGCATCGCTCGTGTTTCGTGGGACACCCAAGTAAGCAATGCTGCCATTAGGAAACGAGTACTAGGTAACGATGGCAGATCAGTTGATGAAGCAGTGAAACTCCATCAGTTGAGGTGGTTGGAACATGTGTTACGAATGCCCAACCTAAAAAGGAAGTTGGATTGCTGTAGGTCTTAGAGACCTTGGAGCGTGACCGCAGAACCGACGCAAGGTTTTCAGACCAATCGACCCAAACCTTTCAACCTTGTTTGGCGGAAAACGAATCAGATCCTAGTTAAGGAGAAATAGGGACATATACTGAGAGTGAATTGTGCTCGTTTTGAGGAAACCAGTTGAGGGCAATTCCTAAACCAGAAACGTTGAGGCCAAGAGAAAAGAGGCATATCAAGGAGCACATAGCGTTGGGAATCGGAGGCGGATATGAAGGCTATGAATAGCACTTGGCAACAACAGGAAAGGAGAAACTAGGCAGTTTTTTCCGGAGATATTAGGTCGGTGGGTTATGTCCCTACAAGAGTATCAGCCTTCAGTAAGTAGATGACGTTAATACAAAGAAAATATTATTACGGTCTCAGAAATGACCACCCAACATGATAACTGCCCTTGTTGATTGTATACGTTTTAATATGTATACGAAACCAACTGTTAATCTGCATTTTCATTCATGCTCAGTAACATCATGACACACATGATGTCTATGATCACTAAGAACCAACTGAATTGAGGACATAAACATATCTGTTCATATACTATAAAGATATACGACCAATAATATGTACCTTTTGAAGCCTAGCTGACATCCCATGAATAGACCAGGTACTTAGTAATTGGCGAAAAAACTTGTGAGCTCAAGTCAAGTTTCACTAAATAATTAAGCAGTAAAAATGCAGTTCTAGCCCAGAAAATAAATTGACTCAGAGGTATTTAAATCCAAGTTCTACGAGGCGTACAATCATAAGAGTCAAATGACAGTCAAATATTTATTGGGCTATAAACCTACCATGACCACAAAATTTTATTTTTAAATAAAATTATAGCTTACTTCATTATTCGCCTCAGCCTGTTTGATAATTTCTATGGCTTTCTGGATAACAGGCAAACTTGCAGCAGTTAAATCTTCGACTGGTAAGTGATAATGTTTAACCACTAAGAATGGAAATTCATTAAATAGTATATGTCTCTAGAAAATTTAAATTTACATATGCTGTATTTCTATCACTATATTTTGATGACAATATACAATGTATGTAATCATGAGAAACAGCCATATCCACATTCATCATCTCTAAATAAACACATTTCAAACCCGCTTGCGAATCTGCTTGTATAAATCCTAATCAACACGCAGTTTTAGAGACCAGAGTTTGAGGAATCTACATGCGAACTATAATGAAATTCATTATATTTGACCTGAAGAGTTTACAAACCAAATGTTATCGGTGCCACTATTTTGACGTAGCGGTCTTACCTGCCAGTTCTGATGACGCAAACGAGCTACGCAGGGACAGTAAGGTGTGTTCCAAGGATAACTAGCATCCTCAAAACGTATTCCCACAGACTTTTGGCGTTGGTAGTAGTGTTTCTGAGCTATGCAATTTGAAGGGGTGAAAGCTTGGTATAGATTCTCAATATGTTCCGAAATAATAGTGGCTTGGAGCCAGAGATGAATTTTACCAAGAAGCCAAGATTTTTTGGAGCGAATTCCTACTTATTGAAGGAGTTAGGACCACCGGTGTTTACCTACTGAAGTAGTAAATTATGAAAAAGACAGGGTACATAAAATCAAGACATCATCAGTCTGTCGAGTTATGAACACCTGATCTGAAGCATGTTGGAAAGTGCACTATACTAGATCAAGGTCCTCGCGATAACTGTAGCCAGTTGTAGACATAAGGCGATAAAGCTCAAAAGTGTTAACAGGCGATGTACCAACTTTGTATCTTCCCTTATATCCTTAGTTTCAGAATCAATCGAATTTTTAATCCCCTATTTATTTGCAAACCAGAATCCTAATGTCTAGTCCTTTATACTACCACACCGCTATCATTGCGACCGTTACGGTATTCGCTTGTCAATTTTATTTTACTACGGTCACTGCAACAATGCAAGCATGTTCGGGATGCGGTTCTCACCCTCGAAATGCAAAATGTTTCTTCAAGATTGGGTTTCATTGGCACCTGAACTAGTGATAGGGAGTGAAGTAGTCGAACATGTAGACCACTTCACTTATCTGGAGAGTCTCATCAGCGCTGATAGCCTGGTGACTGACGAAATCTCAGCACGGATACAGAAAGCTCGATTTGCTTTTGCCAAACAGACATAAGTGAAGTCAAGCTCACAAATGTTGAGGTAAGGCTTTCCATAGCCAAGTCACGCTCATACAGCTGGGCATTCTTAGGAAACATAAAATGTGAGGATAAAACATTTAATGTGATGGCCCCTAATGGTTTTAAAACCATAGACAGACACCTCACCGTCGTTTCATTATTGCAGGTCAATAGAAGACTATCATTTCTACATATCCAGATTTCCATTAAACTCTCGCGTTGGCACAAGCTTTCGTAAGACTTAATGGACCCATGAAAATTTTAATAAGTTCTGAGTTTAGTTCTAAAATGATAATGTCGGATGTTTGAGGAAAAGCTGGATAAGCACCACAATGGCGATGTTTATTCTGAGATCACTGAGTTAGTCAGACGCAAAGTAGAAGCTATCACATTTGTCCATCGGTTCAAGTTGTTACACCTTAGGGAGATGTCAGAGTAGCCTTAATACTACCTATATAAGTGATAGTACAGAATATTAGGTATAGATCCAATTCAATAGGGTATAAGGCGAGACAAAGAGTGAATACCATTAGGAACGACTCTAAATAACGTCACTTAAAGTCTCAAAATATTGGTTACAATGCTAGCGCGAATCCCAACTAGGTGGTCCATACAGCTCAGTCCAACAAGTAACTTTATGGACTGACGCCATGTTTAGGTTTAGTCGTCCCTAGGGATGTTCTAGATAACTCTTACGCCAACGATGAGGGTTGAGGTAGGCAGTGGTTGAAAATATACACATTTCATGTCCCAAATATTTCAGCTAGTGAAGATTTTCTACCCCATCAGTTGATTTGCTATCCTTATCTAACACTTCAAGATTAATGTTAACGTTGCTCAATTGGTGTCTCCAAAATAGACCAACGTATACGTAAAGTCGTCACACTCCAGTCCCTGACGAACTACTTAACTCACGCCGAATCTTTCAAGGTTATATGGTGGTCCATGGATTGGCCAAGTACAGAACTTACGCTGACCCTTCTGACATCTCAGAACCCTTTCCATCTAGTGACATACGTGTTTTTACGCTCAGTAGTTGGTTATAAGCACATGTAAATAACTGGAATGGTTTTTGAGTGTATGTCTGTACCAGGAGTTAATTATGAGCTGGTAATTCCATTTCTTCACACAGTTGTGTGGCAACACACTAGTGCTTTTAGATTCGAACCTACCATCCTTACTTCAATCATTTTCGAAATCCGGCTAAGCTTGCTGTCGTTGGGGCTGTGCCGAAGAATCAAGCTTCTGTAGTTGACAGTCAAGTGATTTTAAATAACAACCACCATATGTATCGGGACGATATCCGTGACACTTACATACTAAATAAAGTCAGTGTAATGAACGAATGATCTATCGTAAAATGTAGTGTTGCGTTATTTCGACGAGCTACAACACAAGTTAATAAAGTTACGGCAGACAGATTCGTCGTTGCTAAAAGCTTAATATCTTCCTTGGGGGGGGGGGCGTTTTACATGTACACTAGGAAGTATCGATGAAAACCCAATACTATTAAGTACTGTAAAGATTAGAAAGTAAGCAGACTGAGACAAGACATGACTAGTACGGAGCCATTAAAACAGAAAGTCAGATAATCATACTAGTCCAATGATTTGGATGCAGCTAAAATGCAGTGATGCCAAGTAACCTAAATCTCAATTAACAGAAAAACCATCACTCACAGCTAAGTAAGCCTTCCTTTTTAACAATCGTATATACACAAAGTCAACTAGGATAGATTCGAAATGGAGGAGTAAGTTATGTAGTTAGTTCTCATAGCTTTGATACTGTTAAAAGTATGTAACGCAACCAAACATTGTAGAAACACTCTCAGACTTATCTGCAGAAGTTGAACAAATTGAGGGTTTTAAAAATAGCAGTTCAGACACTGGCGAACTATACTTCCAGTCAGTAAAGTTAGGATATTATTTGTAAATAAGTAAAAAGGTGTGGATATTGCTCATGTTAAATACCAGCAATTAAAATAAGTTTTATCTTGGTCATCTGTAATCCTTACTTACTTATTTTAGTGGTTAAAGCAAATTTTCGGGCTCCTTGGGCGACAGAAGTAATATATAGGCTATAGACATGTAGAGTTGGAGTAAATTCAAACAAAAGCTAGATTGTTTGGTGTGGATTTAAGCAAAAAGTAGACTATTTAGCGATCACTAATGTGAAAATTTATAGACTTTTCGTCCTATAGAAGACATTTAGGCAAAAGATATCTGATTGCTTCCCCAGAACGTATAGTTTCAGCTGCAGTATGTCCTGAATTACTATCAAATTTTCTCAACCGATGTCATCTGTTTTTCCTCCAAGTTTGACTTAATTAACCAATACTTGTTTAACTGGGTACCATAAGTTTACGGGTCTCGTACGCTAGACATGCTTATTCCTCCAGCGAGAAGAAATCATGATAGTGTGTATTAAGTTTTCCTACAAACAGTCGACAAAATACTGCAAAACCATGGCAACTTACACGTGAAATCCGAAATGTACCGAGGGACTTCAGGACACATAGTGATGATATGAGTAATTCCAGCGTTTTTCACTAAATAATCTACTTCACACTTTTCTCGCGGAAAAGCGAATCCAGCTACAGATTTCGAAACCCAAGAAAAGTTGAGCGGTGGACGGGACATGATGGGAGTAAGCTGTGATGACGACCTTGAGGGATAGTCAGCATTAAGCTACCCGGTATCCAATATCTTTTTCATGAGCTAGTATAAACCAATTGATTTCTTTGCGCTCGATTCTTGTTCTTTCGGTACGGTTCCAAGTGTTTGTTAGTGTCCAATGAATAGGGCTCTAACCACTAGCTTTCTAATTCTAGTCAGTTGGCAGTTGGTTGTGAGTTTGTATGTCTCGTGATTTAACTGAAAACGTTTGTTTCATGGCAGTAGGGTTTCTGGATACCAGCAGCTATCACATTACCAGACCGCAGATCAGTTAGTTGCAATGTTGGGAGTAATAAGGATAATAAGGATAAAATTCTAATGCTAATATGAATAAGATTTCGGAACTAAGTAATATATAGATGAATTTAGTTTGTTTATTGGTGGTGAAGATTGTGAGAGAGGACCGTAGTGTAAGCAAGGGAGAGGGAACAGAGATAATAGGTGAGGTAGAATAATTGAGTGATCTGAGGAGATGGCAATGATAACAAATAGCAAGTCTCAAGACATGCATCAGGCACAGCTTCTCCAAGAGGGGGATGATAATCCGTATGTGAGTACGTGATTATCAAGTCTCTTCTTAAAGCTCTCTACTAAGGGGACTGTGATCACCTCGGCTGGGAGAGCATTCCAAGTTGCGACGACTCTCAATGAGAAAAAGTTTGCACGAACCTGAATATTCTCTCTTTGATGTGCAATTTTTCGAGGATTGCCTCGAGGGGAGTGGTGGTGATGCATCGGTAAGATGCTCACGTTAGGATGGTTTGGCGTGCTTAATATGTTATACGCCATAATCGGATCACCTCTGATTCTCCTGTAACTCAGTGGGAATAACCCAAGTGATGGAGTCTATCTTCGTAAGGTTTATGTTTCAGTCCTATCACCCATTTGGTTGCTCGTCTCTGCACTCGATCCAAGAGATTTATGTCTCTTTTAAGCAGAGGGGGTGCGATGACGTTGTTAACCTGGAGGTGTGGGCGCATGTATGTCTTGAATAATGTTCAGAATTATTCTGGGGTGAAAGCAGCAAGTTGTCTATGCATAAAGTGAAGAGTCAAATTTGCCTTAGCTGTTTCCCCTACATAGTTCGGGCTAGTGTGGAGGCTTTTTGTGGTTATTAAACCGAGATCGCGCTCTGAGGAGACATTAGGGAGCGGACTTCCATTGAGGGTATAGATCGTTTGCGTCGTGTGAGGCAGAATATGAATGACGTGGCACTTCAGTTGGTTGAGTTTTGAACCTTGTTTCACTGCTCATTTCTCATTGCGGTTATATAAGTCTTCGATCTTCACTGATACGGACAGTACATCGGTGTACTTGCGCTTGTCCTCACAGCCTGATTTTCAGAGAAGATACAGTTTATCTTTGAAAAGTACATAGGTAGGGCTCATATCACCGGTTCGGGTAAGACCTCTAGATAAGAAAATGTAATCTGAGTCAGGTTGAGTCTATATCCTATTTTGTGCATGTGGCTTTTGTTACTGAAAGCCTTTTTTAGACTGATAATATCGAAATTAACTAGAGAGATGAGAGACGAGTTGCAGCCAAGAAAGTGTCAAACCTATTCACCCAACATTTGCAAGTTGAAGAGGTTGAGATCAGCCAGCAAGCACAGCTTGACCTTATACTGACCATTTTGATGATTTCATTCTTCCGTTTTCTTTCAGTATATTGTTCATGATCAAATGTTTAGTAGCTAGTCACCAGTGTAATCGTATAAGGATGACAGATATACTCTGCAAGTGCATCACAATTCTGACTCATTATTATGAAGATATCACCTCTATTTTGCATGAATTTCTTCGGTGGTGTGCTATTAATTACCAGACCGTATACAATGGTTAGGTGCAATAGGAATATATTGCTTTAGCCTACTGTTAGTCCGCATCAAAAAATTTGACGAAACTAAGTTAATATACGTCACATTTGCTGGTTATAAAACTTAATCACTTAAGCCTTTTACCCCTAATACAGCATAAGCAGCCAACCAGTATTCGCTCATCTACTCTGTCCTCCTCCCTCCCTTTCCATTTCTGTCCAAGTTTTTTTCTTCTGCTTATTTCTGTCTCCATTTATCGGCGTAATATGTTCCTTGGCCTTTCTCTTCTCCTTTGAGCTTGAGGGTCCCAAGTGAAGGCTTGCCTTGTGCCGCCGTAGGGTGCTTTGCGTAATGTGTGTCCTGTGTGTCCTATCCTGATTTCCTGCTTCGCAGAAATCTAGTCTTCTCTCTCCCACAGAGGATTGTCGCTGATGGTGTCTGGCGAATGGATCCGAAGTATTTTGAGCAGACAACTGTTAACAAATATGTCTATCTTCTGGATGATGGCTTTCGTAGTTCTCCAATTTTCCGCCCCATACAGTAGAACCATTTTCACATTTATGTTGAAGTTTGTGACTTTGGTGTTGGTTGATAGTTGTTTGGAGTTGCATATGTTTTTCAACAGTAGAAACGCTGTCCTTTCTCTGCCGATCCGCGCCTTCACATCTCATCTGATCCACCCAGCTCGTCAGTGATACTGTGCAGGTATCTAAAGGTTTTTATCATCTTTCAAAGCTTCTCTACTAAATGTGATTTGGTTTGTGCATGTTGCGTTGGATCAATGAATCTTGCTTTTCCCTTTATGTATGCTGAGAATTACTGCTTCTGATGCTGTAGCAACACAGGTATTATTCTCTTGCGTGAACAGAAATTACTGTAACAGAGTTAAATAATAAAATCAATAGTGGAAAATCAGACAGATCAGGCGAGCGCTTCGAATTTGACGTGGCCTCTTAGACTTCTCTCCATTTACAGGAAACAAACCATTTTCAGACCCTAGTTTGGGCTATTTAATCACTCCCAAAGCTATAAAAGATTTCTCCATTCACTGGTCGACAATCTGAGTGCAAACGGAATCATTCCAAGTCTCGATCAAGTGCTCTCTTCCTAGTTTTTTCTGCAGCATACATACATTCATTCACTCGCAAACATAGGACTTGTGGACAAGTTACTGGATACACGCGAAGTTACTTAGTAGGACGGTCAAAGGTAAAGTTGCAATTTTGATGTACGTCAAGGCTCTATTCCTTCTATTTATATTATATACTACTAAATTCTTCTTTCTTAAATTCCTATTTCGTGTACTTCGTATCTTAATTATCTCGGCTTTTACCTCTAAATCTCTCTGGTATCATGTTAATTTATAAGGTTTCTACAACATCTTACACTCTAAAAAACAGGAAAACCTGTAGAGATATGAACGCTGGGATTAATAGTGAGTGGAAAATTCCAGTCTCGAGCGACAGGGTTGTGAAAAAACTCAAACCGTCACTTGGAAGCATTCCTCATATTCGTGTCCATAGTTCGGATCACTCAACTCAAACACCTCTAGGTCTCAAACAGAGGAAGAAAGACATCACCCATCCGAACCCAGTTCCTTAAAAGACCAGTAGGCTAGATAAGAATAAGAGAAAAAGGCATCCCATGGTTCAGTCGACACAGTCTGTCGCACAGAAACGGCATAAGGATGACTTTTCTACTGCTTAATGCCAGCCAAAATCAGCGACTGCCTTGCAATGCAATTTCTGCAGTACATGGGTCCATTGTTACTGCAACACTACAGTACTTAAAGAGTAGCATGGGTTCATGTTGAGTCACTCCTGTCCGTGGTTCGGATATATCTTCCAACGGTGTGGAGTATCTGAGTCATCGGCGAAGCCACAGGCCCCACCCAAAATCAGCTCAGAAGTCCCAACGTCACACTTCACGTCCGTCAAGTCACCACGTCTGATGACTGTGACATTCAGGAACAGGCAAGACCTGACTGAAGCACTCCAAGCTCGATACAGTTCTAAGAACAACCTCTCTAGCCACATTATTTGTAGCGAAAGCCGACCCAGATATGGGAAACAAGAGCCGGGAGGCCATAATAAACTCACGAAATTGACAGTTGACCCCGATCAACAAACCCTGGCATCAGACAGGAAGATAATAGCCTCGCCGATCGAACTCACTACACAGGCGAAAAACCTGCAGAGGCCAGTTCCCACAGCACTGACCAACTCGGCTTAAACAACTTGTTTGAAAGTCTGACAACGGCTGTTGTTGTAGAGGTGCACCAGGTGCTGAGACAAACCGCTAGTTAGCTCTATAGCAACGTAAGAGGACTAAGAGGAAAGCGGTTAGAAATCAGGAATATGTGTTCTCGGATGGATCTGAAGATCATAATCCTAACATAAATGTGGATATCCCCTGGCACTGCAGACGACGAAGTGAGCTTGTAGGGCATGACACTCTTCCGAAGCGATAGGGTTCACTTAACAGAAGGCAGAGTGGCTATATATATTAACAGCCACGAAAAAGCAGAACGGCTATACGACACCCAACTAACTGAGGTGACAGAATCATGTTCATATTGCTTTCACACAAACGGCGCGAAATACTTGATTGGAGGGATTTACCGACCTCTCTTAGGTACTAAAGCCCAGGAAGACAAACGGACAGAGGCAGTACTGCAACTGCCACACCTTGGGTTTGATCTGATACTCTTAGCTGGAGCTTTCAACACTCCATCTCTAAATCTCAGCAATCATGGTGTAGAAATATTTATTGCTCTCACAGTGTGCTCTGAGTCCGAAAGGTGTAGGTTCACACGCGTCTCGCCCAGTCCAAGTCCAAAAATGATAATTCTGGGAAAGAATGGTTCTATTTTTAATCAAAACAATTATCAAAACAATATTACACCTTCAAGTTTTTTAATCACAACAATAAGTTCCGATACTGGAAGAACAAGTGCCTCTAGTTAGTTGCAACGAGCTGCTGCTAGAGTATCAAATCCGAAAATGGCTATAGCCATAATAAGTATCAATTTTAAACAACACATATATAGTTCGGAAGGAAACACAGAAACTTCAATATAAGTACAAGATATAGAAATAATAACAAGATACAAATGATAAAATCACAAAATGGGATCAAATAAAGTACCAAAATATCGAACAGAAAGAGTCAGTCAGATCATAACACAAATAAAAATACATGGAGGAATTTCGCGAAAACAAGGCCTTCAA